TCACCGCTGCGTCTGCCCTCCGGCGCAGCTCCGAGCGCCTGCCGACTTAACTGGACTCCAGCCACGCCTAGTCCAGAACCGGTTCCGTTACACCAACCGCTTCCGACCTGGAACCTTGCTCGTAACTATACATCTCTCTGAGACGCCCGAACTTTACTTCTGTTGCGCTACTACGTGCTCACGAGATGAATACTTCACCACTGGAATTTAACTGGAAATATAGTTACTATCAACGGATTTTGCTACTCTTCTCCGTTACACTATCCAAAGACACCTCGCACACCTACAAACAATCAGAAGGGACTAACGCCGCCGGCAGGCCAAGCTAGGCCTGCTCCCTGCCGAACCGAGTTACCGCTGGAGCGAAGCGGAGCTGGCAACTTGGTTTGGCGGAAGAGCGGGCCTAGCGTGTTGAGTTTATTTTAATTCTTGTGTATCTTCATATCGATTTTCAGAGGTATGTTGCAGTGGAAACTTATAAGTTGTAAAAGGTATAGGGTTGGAAGTTACTGGGGTGTTCAAAGCACAAGTGGTTTGATGCAGACTAGGTTTGTGTTTTTTTTTCTCTGAAATATGTTGCTAAGGTACGGAGTCATAATAAAAATAATTTTAAATACTGATTTGTGCTTTGAATTAGATTGACTTAATAAAATGTCCAAACATTATAGCTTCTCTCAAGTCAGCCTAACAGGTGTATCGTGCAAGAACTCAAAGTATCTGTAAACTCATTTCTAAAATATCATTTACAATGTTTAACAAAAATGCACAACAAAACGAGGACTGTTTTTCACGAGGATCATTATTTAGTTGTAGAGTTGCAGATATAAAGATGTACAGTGAAAGTTTTGGCTGATTTGCAAACTACACTAAAAGTTACTAGTCGTTGTACATTTTATCACAAAAGAAACATTTCAGATCCTGTCCTAAAAGTGTGCAAGATACGTTTCCACCTAACTAATAACTAACAACAAATCTACAACAATAGTTTTTGAATGCAGAGCGGTTAATTGATAGGATGTCTAAAACGTATAGAAATAATTTAAACCTAGTCTGCATCGAGCAGCTTAGTGATGGTACTTTTGACCCCCGTCCCTTTTTACAACTTGCAAGTTTTAACCGCAGCATAACCAAGTGAATATCGTAATGAAGAAACAAGAATTAAAATAAACTCAAAAAGACACATTTAAGATGAGACTTTAAAAACAAAAATATCAAGCGAACGCAGCTGAGTGGCATATGGCTAACGAGCAAATAGTGCATTCACAATAGTGCGCCGACTGCATTTGTGTACATCCATAATTTCTATTTGTTTTAAAACGGATCACACAACGCGTTTTGAGGTTGTTGTTGCGGTTGTTGTTCTTTCTTGTCGCGGCTCGGCTGGGCCGGCTTTGCTCAACCCGGCCCGGCTCGATCAGCTCGACTCGACTCGGCTTCGGCACAGTATGCACAGGTTTCGTCGAGTTTCGTCTAGGTTCGGCCACCACTCGGCTGGCCAGCCTACCCCCTCCACAGCGGGCGCACGCTCAGGCGGCCCGCTCAGAATGAGCGTGGCTTAACTAGATACTAGCTATTGTTCGCCAGACCACGTCTCGCGCAACAGGCTTCGCGATATCTCACGAAACACTGTTACGCTGCGACGCGCCTGGCGCACATATAGCTAGGCCTGCGGCGCTGACACCCGAGACGGGGTAATAGGAGTGTATGTACAATTTTTCGAAATGAAGTCTTTTAACGATTTAATCGACCATTTGATAATTTTCACCTCATTTTTGTCAAGAAATGCGCCATAACTTCGAAACGGTACAAGATAGAGCGAAACGGACGAAATTTTCGCCCAGAGGGCTCTACCTTAACGAGCTACCCAGTAGGAGACCATAAAAAAATATTTGAAAAAAATAATATTTTG